TGAAGAACCGGCCATTAACGTAGCAAAACTTAAAAGTATGTTTCCAGCAGGGTATAGCCTGAGCACAAGAGGTTGGCTGTGCTGTGTCGACTGCTGGGGAGTTGTCTTTACATTTGAAGCAAAACATCGAAAATAATGACATAAGCGTAGAGTAAAACACAACAAACTTAGGTTCATCAGTGCTGGAGGTGCCTGGATCCACCCTATAATTATACAGGATTTACCATATGTACGCAGGTTCAGTTACCTTCCTTAAAATGCCAAGCTTAAGTATGGTATATGCAAAGCTAATATAAAGAATGTTTTCACATATTAACCTGACAATTGTTTTGGAGTTAGACTCGATAGAATCCCCTTCGACTAAATCCTCCGCATTTTCGCACCATTCGGGATCACTAGCTTCATTATAAACCTCTTCATCTGCTGTGCTTTTCTCATCTTCGTCCATCATTGCTTCAACTACTTCATCATCAACAGACATTCTCTGTATCAAAAAAACATGGTAAACAGATGCATGTTGTAGTGGTTTTCAAAAGGAATACCATAACTATATTTAATAACATTAATCTTGCTAAATGACACCACACCTTTCCTATATTTTCTTGCCTCTTTTTCTCTGATTCCAAAGTTTCATTTCGTTCTTCACAGGACTTTAACTCACGTTGTAGTTTTTTAACCTTTCGCTGATACATCTGCGCATTTTTACGTCTTTTTTTGCACATTTTGCATGAAACTGGAACTGCACTTTTATTTTCTTGGTTATCTGGAAGATCGCTACCAACGCTGGCAACTATCTAATACATCATCTGACATAATCATGGAATCATCTAGGCTCGTATCAAGTTGATCTGCTTGTTCTGTAGTTATCTTCTCTTCAGTCTCTGCATCTTCCATCAGCTGTTTAGTCGATGAACAGGAACCTTCTTCATTTCCTAGCATTTTGCGAATTACCTAAAAAACAATTAATCCCAATAATATAATTTTATTTGTTACATAGTTTTGTCATTTAATTTAAAAGTGCAATATTAGAGTAAGTAACTAGAAATTTACGTGGAATTGAACCCGGTTTGAGATACATTGCTTTTGGCTTTAACGGAGAAGGAACACCCAAGGAATAACGCATTGGATAACACGATGTTTCAAAATGAGCAGAGCAAATAGCCGAAGAGTTTGTAGGTATATAATTTACCCGGTGTTTTCGAACAAATTGGACCCACAATTTATATTCGTTTGGCTTTAGCCTCGGACTTCATTGGCAATCCTGTTGTTGTTGTTGTTGTGGCTGTTGCTGTTTCTGCTGTTGTTTTTCTGTTCCTGCTTCTGTTGTAGTTGTCTTTCTGTATGTTGTTGCTGGTGTTCTTCTACTTGTTGTTGCACCTGTTGTTTTGACTGTTGTAGCTGCTGTTGTTTTTTGTCCTGTTGTTGCTGTATCTGTTGTTGTTGCATATGCTGTTTTAATTGTGCATGCCCTTGTTGCTCTACCTGTTGTTGTTGTTCTGCTTGTTGTTGTTGTTCCGTCTGTTGTTGTTGTTCCACCTGTTGTTGTTGTTCTGCCTGTTGTTGTTGTTCCACTTGTTGTTGTTCCACCTGTTGTTCTGCCTGTTGTTGTTGTTCCACTTGTTGTTGTTCCACCTGTTGTTGTTGCTGTTCGACTTGTTCATTCAACCTCACATTGCCTTTGTATTCTATACATGTAGGGGTGAGGCATTTACAACAGACAGCCAACTGAATATGGCAATTTATATGGGGAATTAGTGAATTAAACTAAAGCATAAGCTTACACAACCTTTTTGAACTATTGGTGGAAAAATGGCACAGAACCTACCTTCCATAAACTTTCGAAAAAGATTAAGGGTCAGCTGTCCAAATTCCATTGTTTCTATTGAGCTTTTGTTGCCAACAAAAATGAAACGCTGGCACCTTCCGTCCCATAAAATGTGAGAGTATCACCTGCACCATGCTTGTGGTGCATCAACACAACAACATCACAGTTGAAGTGAACTTTTAAAATATTGGCCTTAACAGAAAACTTTCAAAAAGAAATAAAATAAAACTAAAATACAAGTTAACAAGTAAGTCCAAATATAGTTCACTGTCTGTTCACACAGTTGAGTTGCCTACTAAAGTGAACCAAAATATCACAAGACTACTAGTTATTAAGCTTTTACTTCATCAGGGGTGGATCTAGGGGTCGTCAAACTGGTCACGCGACTAACGTAAAATTTGCAAAAAATAAAATGATAAAAATTCGACTTTTGAACAGTATTCCAGTTATCTTTATCATGCAGTGCAGCTATGGCAACTAAAGATTATGTTTCGTAAGGCAGAGCAGTCCAGTTACTGCAGAATCTATTATCATACAGCCATAGTATTTACTAATCTAATCTTAGTAGACACTAAACCTGAGATTTCAGTCAAGCAGTTGCTCGATGAATAGCACGAACAGCAGTTTAAGTAGGAGTATAGGCGCCAAGATCTATATTCTGAAATGTGTGCGAGATAATAACAAGGACAAGTCGTGCACTGCAATAGGGTAAATTTTATTTCATACATCTATTTTATTTCGTTGATTTAGGATTTTAGGTATTAGGTTGTTTATTAACAATAATGATTAATGAATATTTAATATAGCGAGCAAGACGCGCGCCTTGCTGTATGCTGTCTGCTACGAATTTAGATTAACACGTTCAATAAATTTGCATATATCTGCGGTTGAAATTCTAATTTCTTAACTCAATTCGTAACATTGAGAAAGGTTTGGATTTTGAGTTAGGTTTGGATTTTACTGTATTTTTAACTTGAGTTTACTCAATGTTTGACAATTATAGGTGTAAAGTAATATGACACTATGACTCTAGCATTAGTCACTGAGAAGTATAAAAACATGCCTTGTCACTTGTCATTATCGTAAATAACTGTTGCTGCTGAATTAACTTGCTTAGGTTGAAATAGCGAATAAAATTTAGAGTTTAATTCTGCATCCTTTGGTTTTGTAACTTTGCTTTGTTTTGCTATGCAAATGTATTTCCTAGGCATTCTGATGAGCCCTAATATGGGGCGAAACAGACTTGAAATTAATGAACATTGATAATATAGATGTGTATATTATATTCCATTATATTCCATTATGATTATAATCCATTTTTATGAATTATAATAGAAGACATAATGATCATATTTCTTCAAGTACATTCAAGAGCGAGTTAAGAACGGCTGTTGAAGCAAAAATCAGTATACTTTTGTCTTTTGTCCTATCGATTGCCCACTAAGGTTTTGTTATTCTCAAATTGCTGCAAATTGCTTTTTAGAGGTCAGAAAAACGTTTTCGAAAAGAAATCCTGAACCCCTCAGAGAGACCCCCCTAGAGCTAGCTTACAATCCAAAAATTTTGACTAAGGTACGAAAAATCCTGGATCCGCCCCTGTACTTCATAACAAAACCCACTAATGCTTTAACCATGCAGCCATGAGTGTCAGTGGCGTAGCCAGCCCGACAATTTAGTCATGCTATGCTAATATTTTGCTGTTCATTGACCGTGAAAACAATGAATCTCTAAAGAAATGAATAATGATAATAACATAAAATTTGCATAGCATGACTAAATCGTCAGGCTGGCTACGCCACTGATGAATGTGCAAAGTTACAGAAAAATTAGACGTGTTGAAATTTTGGAGACCACCAACGAGAAACTAGTGTCCACCCTAGCAAGACAGAATCTTCCTGAATGTCATCCTGACGTTTTCGAAGGTGAGCCAACCCTTTTTCACCCCTGGAGAAGATCCTTCGCCGCCATGATCCTGGACGCGAATTTGAACCCTTTCCAAGAAATGGCCTACCTACGCAATTACACCGGAGGAAAGGTAACAAGCCTTGGTTGACAACTACAGGAGACGGCAACACGCTGATACTGGAGAGACTTAAGAGAGCTCTGGTTAGAGATCGAGCGGAGATTTGGTAATGTTGCTGTTATTACCAACTCGTTATTAGAAAAGTTGCAGGAAAACGTGAGGTTCGGTGGGAAAGACAAAACCAAGTTACAAAGGTTCGCAGATATTTGCACTGACGTGGAAGAACAAATGTGTTATTTGCCCGGGTTGGCGTGCCTTAATTATGCCAGCGCAATTCGCCTCGTAGTGGAGAAATTGCCCAACTACTTAAGATATAAGTGGGAGAAACAGGTAGTGGACTACGCCGAAGATCACAACGATATGTATCCAGAGTTCAAAATATTTGCGTCTATGGTTAGGAAACAAGCAAAATTGTGAAATCACCCCAACGTCGTCGCCGGGGGAACTCAAGAAAGCGGCAACGACACCAAAAGGAAACCTAGAAAAGACGGTCGGTACGAATCAATCCACAACCAAAGAGTCTTCAAAACCAACATGACACTCGGGAAGGAGAAAGAACAATCAACGGAGAAACACTGCCCCTTCCATGAACGAAAGGGGCATAGTCTAAACGAGTGTAAAGCCTTCAGTAGCAAGACACTAGAAGAGAAAACCGATTGGATAAAAAAATCGGGATTGTGTTTCCGCTGTCTGGTTGGAAAACATCGCACTAAACTATGTAAGGAAAGCATCGCGTGCGATATATGCCACAGCAACCTCCATCCAACATTGTTACACAAGGGCAAGGTCGCGGAAGATCAAACAAACGAGAACAATAGCAACAAGGAAGAAAACGGAGAGGAACAGCTGAATTCCAAGTGCACGTCGATTTGCAAGGGAAAGGCAGGAGGTGTATCGTGCAGCAAAATAGTTCTTGTTGATTTGTTCGCGAAGAATCAACCCAACAAAACCTTTCGCGTTTACGGCATTATGGACGAGCAGAGCAACGCGTCCATGATTACCCCTGACTTAATCGAAAGGATGGCCGTTAAGGGCCCGAGAGAAAGATATCTCTTGTCTATGTGCAGCAGCAGTAGAGAAACGAAGTACGGTCGCCGAATCAGCGGATTAGTTGCGAGAGGGCTAAATGGAAACAGCATTGAACTACCCACGATGATCGAATGCGAGGACATACCACAAAGCAGAAATGAGATACCGTCGCCTGAGATGTGTGATCCCTTTCCCCATTTACAAGAGATTTCTTCCAAAATCCCTCCAGTTGATCACAATGCCAACATAGAGATCCTCATCAGAAGGGATGCGCCAGAGATTCTAAAGGTGAGACACTTCAAGAACGGACCACCGGAGGCACCATGGGCGCATAAACACATCCTTGGTTGGACCCTATCGGGAGAGGTATGTCTAGACCGAGTAGCAAGACCCGTACATATTTCATCCTATCAGACGGAACTCGAATCCCCCTCGGAAGCTAAACCACAGGGAGGCCCAGCGATCGATGACGTTGACCACGATCCAAAATCAGAGCATATTCCCTGCCCCAATTACTTCCGAGTGAAAGAACAACAGAATGAGAGGGCCTTCACTTCGGAAATAAGCAGAGACGTCTTCATCAAAACGAACCGGGATGAAGAGCCAGCCATGTCCGTGGAAGACCGCCTTTTCGTGGAGATCATGGAAAAGGGAATACATAAAAATGAGCCTTTGCCTTTCAGTTCTCCCGAGATAGTCATGCCTAACAACAAAAAACAAGCATTAGACCATCTATACAACCTAAAACGTTCCTTTCACAAGAAGCCTCAAATGCAAAAGGATTACGTTGAGTTTATGGCCAAGATCATCGCCAGAGGACATGCTGTTCCAATCCCACCAGAAGAAGTCGAAGCCTTGGGAAAGAGAGGAAAGGTCTGTTACCTCCCTCATTTTGGTGTTTACGCGTCTAAGAAACCAACCCAAATACGTGTCGTCTTCGATTCATCGTGTGAGTTCGAGGGCGTTTCCCTGAACAAGGTCTTGCTATCAGGCCCGGACATGATGAACAGTTTGATCGGCGTGCTCATGAGATTCAGACTGGAAAGAATCAGTGTAGTCTCAGATATTGAACAGATGTTCCACTCGTTCTACGTAACCCCAGAGCATAGAGACTACTTGCGTTTCTTGTGGTTCAAAAACGACGATCCCAATCAGGAAATACAGGAGTTTCGGATGAAAGTTCACATCTTCGGAAATGGTCCCAGCCCCGCGGTGGCGACCTTAGGGCTAAGAGTGACAGCTACTCACGGCAAGGAGTTTGGAAGTGAGGTCAAGGAGTTCGTTTGTAGGGACTTCTACGTAGACGACGGCCTGACATCAAGAAAGACCGAAGCAGAAGCCATAGACCAGATCAAAAGAGCTCAGACGATGCTGTCCACTGCTAATCTGCGATTGCACAAGATTGCCTCTAACTCGTTCACCGTAATGGAGGCCTTCAATACCGAAGACAGAGCGAAGAATGTGAAAGATTTGGAACTACGTCAAGACACCCTGCCGGCCCAGCGATCACTTGGTGTTCTATGGGACTTACAAAACGATACGTTCACATTTAAAGTGAACCTGCAAGAAAGACCCTTCACAAGGAGAGGAGTGCTGTCGGTGATAAACTCATATTACGACCCCCTCGGTTTAGCGGCTCCCGTGATTCTGGTCGGAAAGTTATTACTGCAGCAGCTCGTCGCAATGGGAAAAGAAAAAGGGAAAGACCGGTCACTCAGATGGGATGACCCGCTGCCAGAACACCTGAAACGTAGATGGGGGACTTGGAAGGATGAACTTACTAAGTTGGAGAATGTTGCCATACCCCTCTGCTATCACCCTGAGGACTATGATGAAGTCAAACACAATGAACTCCATGCCTTCTCCGATGCCAGCAAGGAGGCTGTTGGCACGGCAGTCTACCTTAGGCAGGTCGATAAGAGTAAAAGAGTTAGTGTAGCCTTGGTTTATGGACAAGCAAAGGTTGCACCGATACAACCTACGAGCATTCCACGACTCGAGTTATGTGCCGCCGTCTTGTCAACCCAAGCCATCAGCCCAATAAAGAAAGAACTAGTCGATCTAAAGATAGAGACGGCCCGCAGATTTTACCTGTATGTGGCGAATCAAGTCCAATACATCAGGAGTATGTCAGAGCCAGCCCAGTGGAAGTACGTCCGCACGTCTGAAAACCCAGCAGATTTAGCGAAGCGTGGAATACCGACGAAAGATCTTGCTCACTCAATGTGGTTCAATGGCCCTCCGATGCTCGGACAACCAACGTCAGATTCTACGGTAGACGGAGAAGAAGCAGCCGTTGTGATCGAAAACGATCCGGAAGTACGAAAAGAAGTCACTGTTCACGCCAACAAGTTAAGCGAAAGTGAGAGCCTGAGCTCGTCGCGTTTTGAATGTTTTTCCTGTTGGTCTCGGCTGAGAGAAGGCGTAGCGTGCTTGATAAGTAAGGCCCGGAGGCATTCAAAGAAGCACGACGCAACCAACAAAATCACGCTGGAAGAACAAGCTGAAAAGGTGATCATCAGAGCGACACAAGGAGAACCCTTCGCGAAGGAAATACGTCTGTTGAATGAGGAGAGCAGTCAACAAGTTAGTCGTGTCAGCGATACGAGGAGAAAGGAACTGCTGCGTAATTCAGATATTAGGCAGCTGAGTCCGTTCTTAGATCAAGAAGACATCCTGAGAGTTGGCGGTCGGCTACACCACTCGGACTTGTCCTTTGCAGAACGACATCCGATACTGCTCCCAAAGAATCACAACGTAACGAAGTTGATCATTAGACATTACCATCAAAGAGTCCATCATCAAGGCCGAGTCATTACACAAGGCGAAATTCGTAGGGCTGGATATTGGATCATTGGCGGTCACAACCAGATAAGCAAAGTGTTAAGGAGCTGCGTCACATGTAATCGATTGAGAGGGAAATGCCTCACACAACGGATGGCTGATTTGCCGGCAGACCAAGCAGAAACAGGAGCCCTATTCTCTAATGTGGGGGTGGACGTTTTTGGTTCTTGGATAATTCAAACACAAAAGTTACGAGGCAAACCTTCCGAAGTCAAGTGCTGGGGAGTCCTCTTCACGTGCCTCGTAAGCCGAGCAGTTCACCTGGAGGTACTCCATTCGATGGACGCCAGCTCGTTCATTTGTGCCTTACGCCGTTTTATAGCTATTCGGGGGCCCGTGGCTCTCATTTGGTACGACTGCGGGACAAACTTCGTCGGCGCGAAATTGGACTTAGCGAAGGCCCTGAACGAGATGAACAAGCGAGAAATAGCGAGATATCTACGAGACCAAGAGTGCAAATGGGAGTTCAACCTGCCCCATCCTTCCCATTTCGGGGGAGTATGGGAGCGACAGATTGGAACGATAAGACGGGTGCTGGATGCAATGTTGTTGGGAATTGGTAGTTCTCAACTAGACGATGAGTTACTAATCATATTAATGGCAGAGGCGTCGAGAGTATAGTGAACAACCGGCCGATAAGCACAATTACGACAGACACGGAGGAACCCATCCCCTTGACACCATCCACGCTCTTAACGTTGAAAAGGCAACCTGTTTTGGCCCCTCCTGGAAAGTTTGTCGCTGAAGATGTGTATGCTCGAAAGCGATGGCGCCGAGTTCAATATTTGGCTGAACAAATTTGGGTGAGATGGAAGCTAGAATACCTTCAGAATCTCCAAAGGAAGAAGAAATGGATTGACGAGCAACGAGATTTAGTTGACGGGGACGTAGTGCTCATGAAAGACAACAACGAACTGCGAAATGCTTGGCCCATGGGAATAGTACGTGAAGCAATCAAGAGTGCCGATGGAAAGGTGAGAAAGGCGAAAGTCGAACTGTTTCGAGAAGGAGAAAAAAGGATTTTTCTACGTCCAATCGGGGAGCTCATCTTGTTGATGGAGAGAGACGGAGATAAGTAGACTAAATAATTGTTCAAGGATTTGTAAATCCTTGGGCGAGGAGTGTAATGTATATGTCGAATTTAGTTTAGCGCCTAGTTGATCAATAGTTTCACATGCGTGATCCCGCGGGACTCTAGCGTGAGAAAGGAGGGACGCTGCGATGCACTTTCATTTTGGGGAATTGTTGTTTGCGATACATTCATTTTGTATTTTTATTTCATTATTCTTCGACATTGATTTGACCATTTTAGTCTTGGAGAGGAATAGAACGTTAGTATAAATTATGTAGTTTCTCAGTATTTATGTATGTATTAGTCTATCAGTTGTAATATGTTTATGTGTTGTTATTATAGTTTCACCGCTTCGAGTTATAAATATTAGACAAGTTTATATTTCTCAGTGGTTGACACTTCTCAATCTCCGGCGAGAAGCCTTACGGGTTACCTCGTCGGGAACACGACAGCTCCTATTTATGAAAAGGCGCAATACCCTAATTTCTGTTTCATTAATAATTTATAATTATCAAAATCTTTTGTCAGCAATTGTTAACTCGCCTATCCATAATAGTTTAATATCAATTACAATTTACAATTAAAATGAATGTCCATATATGAATAATTTATGTTTTCCAAATGAGTTACTTGTTGCAAAACTTGTTGATTAAAAATGATAGTGTGTTGAAATACTTCAATAGAAATACAACTGCATTGCTGTTATTTGCTGATATCTTGAACTACAAGATCTCTTCCCACCCCCAGATAGTAACTTGATATATAGCAACTTGGTCAATGTTGCAAATTTATCATATCAGTAATATCAGAGGCCGATAACATTTTATGATTATAATAAATTCCGTAAGGAGCTGATGTTGATAAGATTGAAGCTCTTCACCACAATAACCAATCAGATTTAGTACCTATCCAATCAAATTACAGGGGAAAATGGCACTAAATTTTATTATTTTGAATTTTTAAATGCCCTGCAAAATTTCTTGACAAAAATAGATGGAAATTACTTGCATTTTACACTGTCTACGTTTTTTCAGCCAATAAATCGTTTTGAATATTTTTTTTTGTATGATTTTAAAATTAATATAATAAAGTGGAAATTGCATTTTGTGTGAAATCAATGTGTAAATCAAATGTGTGATGACAAATGGCAATCTGGCTTCGCAGTTGTGCGATTTTGTAATAATGTGTTTGACTTCACACCAAATTGCACTCCACTCAGTGCAATTACCGTTATTAATAACCCTTGCTTTCAGTCCCTCTATTTCCAGTTTCAGCTTTATTTTTGTCACTGCAAGTTTCCTACCTTAAACTCTATTTTCTTTCGAAATTCTTTTTTCCAACTTGAGCACATCGATTTGCATTGATTGCACATCCTGGTGAGTAACCTTTCTCTTTTTCCTTGCTCCAACCGAAGAAGCAGAGGCATGATCTGTGATCGTGACTCCAAAGTGATAGAAACACTAGGAAGGCTGGTGACTTCCACCTCAACATCCACTGTCTCACCTGGCAAGTTTTCTTGAAGCATTACCTCTTCACCAACAGTATCGTCAAAACCTTTAAGCTCACCAGGTATGGAAAGTATGTCCACAGTATCTGGACAGGTAAAACTGGTCAAACACAGTATATAAAATTGTCAACTTATTCAAAATTATAAGCAAAAATATAGTTGTTACCATGTATGTTTATATTATAATATAAAAATTTATTACTTTCAGACAAAAATAGTATCATAATGTATGTCATAACACATCTCAGACAGGAGCATACATAATGTATGTCATAAGAGATCTCAGACAGGAGCATAATTTGAAATAAAAATTGTACAGTTCGTCATGTCAAGTCTTACCAGTGAATTTAATTGGATCTTGGCGTGTAAAAACACATTTAAAACTAACAAGTAATAATCCTTGCACAAGCGATTCTTTGAAGCAACAACTAGCGTATAATACAATTGCAAATCACCATAGCAGTATAATGCCTAATGAACCACTTTCGCTTATTATTTTTGGTGAGGCAGGTACTGGGAAAAGCTACCTCATTAATGCTATACAAAACTTGTTGAACCAAAAATGTATTATAACTGCTACTATTGGCAAGGCGGCTTTCAATATAGATAGCATAACTATTCATTCATACCAGTGGGCAAAATGTTGCAAAAGGATTTATCTGGCCAAAGTCTAGATGATTTAGTACATAATACAGTAGTAGAGTAACAAAGAAGGTAACAAAATATAATAACGATCGTTTACTACAGTTAAAAACACCTGTTGTGCAAACATTCTGCGCTATTCATTAGTAATGCGATAAATGCCTTGAGATGATGGGTTTGCAGCCAGTCATTTTACTTTGCAAAGGGGCAAAAGTAATGCTTACAATGAATTTGTGGCCTATGGTTGGCCTGTGCATTTGGTTCAACAGGAACTGTTTTTGATATTATTTATGCAACAAATCATAGTCCACCAGATTTGCCTATTGCTGTTGTAGTTAAATTTGACACATATCGTGGTCCATCGATTCCAAACATGCCTTCATGTGTTTCTATTCCACCAGTCAGTGCATCTGTAAACATAGGCAACGCTGTGCTTGAAAGACAGTTTTCATTGATTATTCTTATGTCTACTTTGTTATAACTGTATCCAGCTAGCAAACTAGCCCATTTTTGCCTTTGCATATGGCATTAGAACGTAAAACTAAGCATCATGCAGTTGATTTCCCCGCCATTATTGCTGCCTGTCATTTGACATTAAACAAAAAAAATCTTTGCCAATGCTTTGGAGGCTACCCACATGTATGCATTGCATACCTATTTTTTGTTAAAGTTACTGTATATCAATGTGTCATAAATTTTAAATAAGGATTTATATAAATTTACATATTGTTTAAAGGTGATATGCCCAAGGTGCCAGACTGTGCCACACCAACTAAAGTTATAAGAAAAAAGCCCTACAAAAACCGTGCAAAGTGCACATACTGTATGCACAATGTTACATGAACACTTGAACTTATTTTCTGTGTACATATAAACTTATTGTAAAAGCTTTAACTTTGTTAAGGTAAAGAAGAACCCATGGGCACCAGCACAATTGCTCAAATCAGTGAGGGTAAGAAATGTCTTATCCCCGAGCCGGTGCGGAGCACCGTGCGAGGGTACTAATTCCGCCCGGAGATTAGGAATTACACCCGGGACCCGGGAGAACATAGCGGAATCCAAAGTTGCCCAAATGTCATGGACGTTCAATGGTCATGGTACTTGTGCGCATGCGCGAAATGCAAACGAGTGTAGACTGGTAATCAGCAACTTCCGGATTGGCTAAGACGAAACGTTTGTGTTTCAGTGAAAAACGTCAGCAATTTAACTGTCATTTTGTAAACTATTTTTTAAAAAAATGTTTTGAAAACAAAATATGAAATGTGGAATCAAATAACAGATAAAACACTGGGAAGAGTTTAAAATATTATCAGAACTGGAGGAATTAGCGGTGAAAAGGAACAACTGGATTATAGTCCTTGAAATGGTAGGAGTCTATTTTGTTTATTTCAAGGTTTATTTCGTGTTTGCTGTACAAATACATTTTATGACCTTGGTACAGTATGTCGTTTTGCTCGGTTTTGCGAAGACGTGACCCACTATTTAAGGCTTTACATCATCGTTTTAACTTCCAAAAGAGTCGTTAAAAGTGTAATTCGGAGTTTTAATATAACAAATATCACTTTAAAGGTTTATATATAGTCGACTGCAATCACTGCATGAATTTAATAATCGAAAAACAACATTCGACGTTCACTGCTTGGTTATTTATATTATTTGGGCTGTTTTGATGATTTGAAGGTTTAGCTATAATGAAGTATAACTAAACTGTGAAAGTCTATAACTTAATGCAACGGAAAGCAGCAGGAAAACGGGTGATTTCACTTCACCTTTACGACTGTCAACTATGTTTGTTTCCGAAATATTTGAAACATCAGCTATCGGCTTTACATTTAGGACATTTCATAATATTGAAGGTTAAGTCTGGCTAGCTCAGGAAATATTTTGCTTCCTTTGAAATGGCGAGGGGTTGCTGCATGCATGTATTTCTAGTATATACTGTACGTCAGCTTCTTTCAATGACATGTACATAGCTTACAAGTGATTACATTTATATTACTTTAGAAACACCCATGATAGACTACCTCCACAACCTCCCATAAAAACCAGTCAAAGATCTAATTTATATTTCGACATGACGTTACAAGCTGAAAAGAAATCAGAACTGTCTGCTTCACGCCAGAATAGCATTCCCAGTTTTCTGCAAAGTTCAAAGCGTCTTCACCATAAAAATCAGCAAGTTCCATGTAAAAAGGAATACCAGAAATGACACAAACGAAATTCACATTAACAAGCGGACTAGATTAGAAGATCCATTGGAATCAGAAGTAACCTTTGATATAAAAAAACTTGAACCAGAACAAAAATGTAAACCAGGACTAACAAAGGTTTCCGATCTGCTAGAAGGTGATACAAACGCAGTCCTAAATGTGTCTGGACAAGTTACATTTCAAGGCCCCAAAGAAACCGTTTTGTCCAAAGAAAAAACACTTTGGAAACAAGAAGTAATATTCACCAACAACACAGGAAGGATTCGCCTCAACTAATGGTAGAATGATATTGCACAAATCATGTCAACGTCCATCTACAACATATCAAGAATAGTTGTTTGTGAGTATAAAAACGCAAAGTACCTCACATTGAACAAGATGTCAAAGATTGAGGATCCCTACTGTACCATTCAAAGGCAAGATAATCCATCTGAACAGTTACCTGATGTAAAAACAGTTGATTGCCCAACCAATGGAATTATCTCATTACAACGTTTTTTGTCATGCAACAAATGTCAAACTAAGTTGCCGACAAAAACATTGTGAAGTGTAACGAATGTGGCCTATCCCAACTCAAATCCAAGTGCAAGCAACGACTGTATGCCAACGTTGTATTTCAAAGCCAAGGTAACTCCATCAATTTCCTCC